GCGACAAATCACTCTCAATTTCTCTATGCTATTCTGCATAATATATTCATAACCAGGAAGGTTGAAATGATCACTATCTTCTGTCCCAAGATGTCATATAGTAGAATAAATCTTGCACGATTATTTATTTTAGACCTTTGCAATGCCGCAATGAACAATGTAATGTGTGTAGATTTACGGAAAACATGTTTCCTCGCGTCTGGATAAAGGTTTGAGAGTTTTGACAGTTACCAGTTTGTAAACCAATCTGTATTTCCTTTTCTACCTTGTTCTTGTTGTAACGGAGCACGGGGGAACTTGTCCTCTCCCCTTGTCTGATCCAGGAAAGGTTTCGCCTGATTTCACGCACGTGCGGAGGGACATCATGTGACACATATACTTTCAGTCCTTTAGTTTTCCCAAGGATTTCACTTCCAGTTTCTGATTATTGTTCTTGAATGTGACAGTGGGGGTACCCCGATTCCTTGATGGTGAGTGAGTGAGTTTGGTTTTACGCCGCTTTTAGCAATATTCCAGCAATATCACGGCGGGCGACACCAGAAATGGGCTTCACACATTGTACCCATGTCGGGAATCGAACCCGGGTCTTCGGCGTGACGAGCGAACGCTTTAACCACTAGGCTACCCGACCGCCCCATTGATGGTAATCATGTAACCTCGTCAATCCCAGCATCACCAGTAAACGCGTAAAGATCCGGGGTAGAATAGGTCTTTAGCAACCCATGCTTGTCGTAAGAGGCGACTAACGGGTTCGGGTGGTCATGCTCGCTGACGTGATTCATGTCTTCGTATCCCAATTGCGTGGATTGATGCTCATGATGTCAATCACTGGATTGTCTGGTCCACACTCGATTAGTTACAGACCGTCGTCTTATAGCTGGAATATTGTTGAGAGTGACGTTAAACAACAAACAAACCAAAAAATCCTAACTCATAACACTGGTTTCGATTGCCAAAAAGTTACAGCGTGTGACACCCATTGTCAGTGTTGGTTACTATGGTATTATTGAAGTGCTGGCAAAACTGACTTACATCAACACTTTGCCCTTGTGGAATATAAAACATAATATAATAAGGATCGTTCGATCACATTGCGTGACATGGTTGGCTGTGCCTTGACCCCGATTGTGTGGAATAATTCTACCGACCACTCGTCGTCACCTTGTTGCAGTGTTCGAAATAAACAGTATTGCCAGACTGCCATCGGGACCCACAGATTTAAACGACAGCTTATTGTGACAAATAGATCGATACGCAAAGTTACTGCAGGCCTTAGGGGCGGTCGGGTAGCCTAGTGGTTAAAGCGTTCGCTCGTCACGCCGAAGACCCGGGTTCGAATCCCGACATTGGTACAATGTGTGGAGCCCATTTCTGGTGTCCCCCGCCGTGATATTGCTGGGATATTGCTAAAAGCGGCGTAAAACCAAACTCACTCACTACTGCAGGTCATAAGGACCCATACAAATTAAAAACAACGGATCCGACCCGAAATATACCTACCAAGAGGCCGACGGGCATGCGCCTATTGTGAACACCTCCTTGTTGTAGACACTTGGAACAACCCATGTTGTTAGGAGATTAACGGGAGAAAGTGTCTTCTTAGACAGGTTGTTGGTAATTGTTGTCGTTCACAATAGGTCTTCATGATTTCCTGACCGCTTTCCGTCATCTAGTAGGTGGGGCGTATGCTCGGAAGTTCGACCCCCGACAATCTTTTTTCAAAAGATGGTACTTGTTGTTACCCTGCCTGTCACTCGGAATTAAGGGGCTAAAACAACTTCTGGTCGACTCGTGTCAGTATACTGAGTGGGATACTAGTATGTTAAGCTGCAGCATGGTATATAAGTGGGCTGGCACTTTAAGATCGACATTAATCTTGACTAGTACACGCAAACACACGCACGCACGCACGCACGCACATACGCACGCACGCACGAACGAACGCACGCGTGCACACCTCATAAATCTTTTTATGTCCATTTTGTCGCATTTCACAATATTTTTTTGACAACGTTATCGCCAGACTGAGGACTAAAGCTGACTCGGGGGCACGGGTGGCCCAGTCGTCTAAGCCGCCGCGATTCGCTGAGCAGAGTTGCGTCACTTGGGCACGCCAGAAACCTATGATTGTGGGTTCGAATCCCGGTTCGACCCAATCATGTTTCTAGGTTTGTCAGCATCATACCCATGCTCGTGGGTTTCACCGAAGTGGTAAACGTCTGAGACCTGCATCACTTCGGGCTTTCCTCCCACATTAAGCTGACACGCCGCGACATAACTGGAATATTGTTAAAAGCGGCGTTAAACCCAACTCACTCACTCACTCACTCACTCACTCACTCCCTAAATATGACTCAGTTATAAAAATATATGAACAGGTGGGGTTATGCTGACTGGGGCGTTAACACCATTCAGTAACTCCCTTACTTCAAATAAAAGCAATACGACAAGGTGTTAGTCTCGTGAAACACGGGAGAATGGGAATGGTACTAACAAACGTAGAAACATATATAATCGGGGCGAAACGGGATTCGAACCCATATAACACGGTGAGGTACAGCCAGGTATTCGTTTCTAACTATGGTACTCTAATCAGATGGGATAGTGCGTGACATGATGTGTAAATATACAACTATGTATCATAAATTGTGCTGTATCGATCTGTAAACAATCACCGCACACAAGATATGAGGGCACAGACAATTGAAGTGTGTTGAGATCGTAGACGTATTCGTGCCTTCAGTCAAAGGGAGACAATCCTTGAGGTCCTAAATTTGCAATCGCGTTCACTTGGCTTATTCTGACAACTAACATGATCTTTATGGGTGTCGTGGTAAGGCGAATGCCTTAATTTGAACAAACTTGGTTTGAGTCTAGGTCTGGGTGTTGGTTAAGAATATAGATTGTAGACATGTTTCTTCTTAAGTGAAATATTACTTCAGACGACTCAAACATGGAGGGGAAATTGAAGTGATAGAAGCGTGTGTAAAATCAACAATTTAGGCCATTGAAACAGGACTGTTAATAGACAATAGAAAATAGACATAAAACAGTGTGAATGTTAGGCAGCTGTTAGCAATATCCCGACAGGGAACCAGAAATGGGCTTCACACATTGTACACGGGTTAGGAAGAAACTATAGAGAGAGAAGATGACATTTCCGATGTTCATCAAGGTACTCCAACATTAATAAACTTTAAACTTGACATTTTTTCATTACCTGCAAATATCGTCCTGTGTTTGAAGTCGTTAGATTGAGATTAATTTGTTTGTACGGGCATAATATCCATGACATTTTGTAAGTTCAAAATTTCATATTTCTAATGAGAAATATAACCCCAATGATATACATACAGTAATAACTACAGTAAACTACGTTTATAACAAATACGCTTATGACGAATTGAACTGACCGATATAACGAACTTATTTTTTGGCACTTACCAACTGCTGTTTATATGCCGTAAATATGCTTATTAAACGAACTACGGTTATAACGAACTAAAAGGGCGTGATAATACCCTCCTCCTCCTCTCTCCCCCCCCCCCCCCCCCCCCCCCCCGTGTTCGGGTGTTTGACACAGAGCTCCACCCATGGTACGACCCGGAATATGTAGAGGGCGTCATTGAAAATGATAAATACAAAATCTTTTGCAATAGGCCCGTATTAAGCCTCAGACGTATCCAGGTCACAAAACCTGATCTTGTCCTTTTTTGATAAATCCAACGAAATCATTTTTATTATTGAATTTTCTGTCCCTTTTGACACTAATGCGATTGACAAGATCCAGGAAAAACATGGCAAATATGCAAAGTACCAAGTTGTCCGACTCCCCATTGTTCTCGATCCCTTAGGTTTGGTATGTCCAAATCTGTTGACTGACATTGGTAGAGTACCCGGGTTTGCTACCAGGAATACAGCCCTTCTGACAATCTGGGTAATGCAGAAGGCTGCAGTGTTGGGGAGTCTTCACGTTCTCCGAAAAGTTCTGTGTGGGTTTGACTAGGCAGCGCTTCCTGGGAGAAGTCCCACTCGCTGTCTGGGCTGCATGTAGTGGGGGCAAGGACCCTGGGCTGATGATGAGCCTAACCAGCCTGATTGTGCCAGGATAACCCAAATCTTCGTTACTGCATTTTTTATCTTAATATGTACATCATACTACTACTACTACTACTACTACTACTACTACTACTACTACTACTACTAATGGTGATGATGATGGTGTAAAAACCGACATCCTCATGGATGTTTGTATCATACTGTCAGGAGTGAGTGAGTGAGTTGGGTTTAACGCCGCTTTTTATTTCAGTTACATCACGGCATGTCAGCTTAATATGGGAGGAAAGCCCGAAGTGATGCAGGTCTCAGACATTTACCACTTCGGTGAAACCCACGAGCACGGGTATGATGCTGACAAACCTAGAAACATAATCGGGGCGAACCGGGATTCGAACCCAGAATCATAGGTTTCTGGCGTGTACTGTCAGGACAGGATACGAGAGGAATGGATGAGTATACAGGGAGTATGTGTAAAACTAACTTCTTGCATGCGCCGTGGAGAGTGAGTGAGTGGGCATGGTTTAACGTCGTTTGAACAGTATTTCAGTTATATTACTGCTTGTCCACAGGGTAACCGATAATCGAACTTAACCATTTTGGTGCAACTCGCTGGTATGGGTATGGTGCTGATAGACCAAGGATCATAATCCGTGCGGATTGGGTGGATCGATGCTCATGATATTAATCACTGGATTGTCTGGTCCAGACTCGATTATTTACAGACTGCCTTCATATAGCTGGAATATTGCTGAGTGCTGAAGACCTATTCTACACCGGATTTTCACGGGTCAGTTGTTTTGTGTTGCTGATCAACATATAGATGTGTTATGTCTGTTGACACAACCTAAAGTTGCTTATGAAATATTTACACACTGTATTCCGGTATTTCTAAGCCAGTGATCAAAGGCAAATACTATATAGTCAAACCACGTTCTTGTTCGACAAAAACAACAATGTTCTTCTGTATATACTTAGTTTACATTTATATACAAACAACACAGGTATGTAGTGCGTAATCCATTGTGAAACAGGCGATGACTATATACAAAACGTATCAGCTTATTTGGGAAGAAAGTCTGAAGTAATGCAGGTCCAAGACATTCATCACATTGGTGCCATCCACGGACATACACGTGTTGCTGACAAACCATGGTCGTTGATTAGGGAGAATCTGGGATTCGAACTCATTATCAGCGAATCATGACAGCTGAGCAAAGCAGCTGTATGGACTAGTGAGTTGGGAGCAGTTCTCTGTTGTAGGTGTGGATGAATTGTGGTGAAAATAAAGTTTCATAGCTTCATAATTCAACCAACTTGAATGTTTCTTGGCACAACAGTTGCAGAGTATATCCGAGGGAGGCCGCTCCCACTGACGCGGAGTGAGATGATAAACGTCACCATTTGTTTGAGGAGATGGTGCAGCCTTGTTTAACAAGATGTCGAGCTCGCGTGCGTGTGTTCCGAAGACGTCTCCAGGCATAGTCGTAAGTGAGTAGTGCTGACTGGACATTTTTCTCGTGACTCTTGACAGTTTTGTATTCCGCCCTTCGCACGAAGACACTACAACCTTGAGACACAACTTTGTTCACCTGGGCTTTTACAATCCTGTGTCCAAGGAGGCGGGTTTCCCAGTTAGCATTGTCCGGAAGATGGCGGCAGAGTGTGTTCAAGACCACGAACCTTCGCCCATTGCGGCTCACCTGAACACCGATTTCATAGAGAGCTGGCTTGCTCTTCATAGAGTTGAAGATTTTCTTGGTTCTGAAGCCAGTTTTAACATCACCCCAGCGTTTCTCCCACCTGTCTGCGTCTGGTTTCGCTGGGAGCCTAGGGGAGATAACTTTGATCCAGGGTGACCAGTCCATATCTTTCAGGGCGAAGTTGTCCTCTGGGATCTCCTCTCTATTCAGCAATGTTTTCTTGCTTGGTGTCTGTGTAGAAAAATGGATGGACAGATTCTTACAATAATAGCATCAACTTGCATGACCAACACCCAGCATGGTAACGCATTATGGTGTGATTTGGACGAGAGTGAGTGAGTGCGTAGAGTTTTACACCTCTGTTACCAGCATTCAACCATTTCATATGACATTTTGTACCCATGTGCCCATGTACCCTTAACTTGGCGTGGTGTGGCAAAGCGTTTAACCACGAGGATACCTTCCTACCCTGGTGTGAATCGACTAATAAGTAGCTATGTAATAACATGATGATTATTTTGTGTACAAAAAAGGGATTTCTGTGAAAACGTATTGACAACAATGTGTAAATATATCCTTTGATTTCTTCATGTCTTACCTTTATCTTTGTAGGCTTTGGTTTCCTGATGGGAGTAGGTTTTGATTTTCTGGTTGTGATTTTTCTTGCAGGTTTTGACAAGACTGGAACGGTATCGACTTTCTTGCCACGAGAGTTTGTCACCTTCTTCGACGTTGAAGTGACGGTTGTTCCATCGCGTAGGGCAGTAAACATTCCTTCCACGTCTTCACTCAGAGAACCGTCAGCACGGCGGGCTCGAACCTCTTTCTCATAGGCCTAAAGTAGTAGATAAATTTGTTTATGTCATTATGCATAATAAGCCTAGAAGCCCATGGAAATTGAACACATTTGTAAGCATATTTACCCTATACCCACATTTACCATGTATACTGAAAGATCAAGCGTGATAACTCCGTAACTGTGCATTTCACAGATGTTCAGTCCTGAGTGGTCCTGAGTGGTCAGTTCAAATTAAATGAAACCATATTGATGCAGGGAAGAGTACAATACGATCTGTTGTTCCTTGCTTCAAAATTGAAGTGTCTTACATGTATTCCTCGTGGTCATGTGTACCATGTTGAGTAACCTACTCGAAACTGAATGACGAGTTGTTTGTCCCGGAAAGATGTAATGGACATCACCAATTCAGGGCGGAAACATAACCCTGTGTTATAGATCGTAGCTTATTCTCTAAATATGAAAGAATGAAAGTACAGGTTGTTTGAACCCTAGCTGTTGGTCAGCTGTTAGCTTACCTCCAACATATCTGCCCCCTGCTCCCTGTAGCAGATGGCCATGAGGAGATCAAACACGTTGGAGAAGTCTTTGAGTTGAAGATAGCGGCCTCCCGACTCCGCTGATATGGTTGTGTAGAATGGTATACCTCCATATCCACACTCAACACCGTAAATCTTGACTCCCTGTGGAAAATACATATAAAAGGTCAACGCTAGAGTGAGTGAGTGAGTTGGGTTTAACGCCGCTTTTAACAGTATTCCAGTTATATCACGGCGTGTCAGCTTAATGTGGGAGGAAAGACCGCAGTGATGCAGGTCTCGGACGTTTACCACTTCGGTGAAACCCACGAGCACGGGTATGGTGCTGACAAACATAGAAATATAATCAGGTAGAACCGGGATTCGAACCCACAATCATAGGTTTCTGGCCTGCGTAAGGGACGCAACTCTGAATATCTGCAAATCGCGGCGCATTAGACGACTGAGCCACCCCTGCGCCCGTAAACGCCAGAGAACAATGAGAATCGATGATCTGCCGAAAAAGATTCCATTTAGCTTAACGGGCATCATAATCGTGAAAATTACCTGAATGGATTAGTGAAAAACAGTGATGACACCAGGTGTTCGCCAAAGGAATGTAAGCTATTGCTGAGTACATATGAAGCGGTTTTTTCCACATGATGTTGTGGTGGAGAGAACAAATGATGTAGCTTTTAGATTATTAAAATCTGTAAGAAAGTCAACTCACCATGTTGGTCAGTGTTTTTAGCTCTTTCCTCCAATCTATCATCAGTTTATTTCCACTGAAGCTTGGTGCGTGTGGTGAATCATCCCCAATAAGGACAATAGCCCGATTTGAACCCGGCGTCCATGACAGTTCCTCCCCAATTTGTCTGAGAACGAGTTCGTAACATTCGCCTCCGTCTCCTCCGCCCCCTGTGCTTCTGACGTTTTTAACGAATTTGCAGAGTTCATTGACGTCAGTGGAAAAGTCGACCCACTTGGTTGCTTCACTTCCATCACAGTAGTCACCGTGTGCGAAGACGGCGATTCTGATGGCGGGGATGTCAGCCTGGAGCCGCTGTATCATGTCCTGGAGTCGACCTCGGACTTCGGCCAAACAGCTGCTCATGGAGCCGGTTGTGTCAAAGGAGAAGACAATCTCCGGAAGTCCACCAGGAGGAAGCAAAGCCATGTTGAATCTGTTGAAATATTCAAAACAACTGAAGACTATGCATACGGGAAGTGTTACTTTTGAAATTGATACAGTTTTATAACCATTAACTCAACTGATTGGTCAATACTTGTTGTCTGGGGACGAAACAGATACCGTTCACCTTCGTACCTTCGATCTCAAAGCATCTGTCTTGTTATTTTGTCATCATCATCATCATTATCATCATCATCATCATCATCATTAAAACATAAAATGCTGCAAAGAGGGTTAGGGTGATCCTGGCATCATAATAATAATAATAATAATAATAATAATAATATATTATACTATATACTGTCTCCGAGCCGACCAGTCCTCGTATTAGCCCCTGAATGCCGAGCGCCAGCAAGTACCATCTTTAAACGTCTTTTGATATGACGCGGTCGGGGATCGAACCCCGGACCTCCCGCTCTCCTGGCGGACCCTCTACCACAACACCACGGAGGCGGCCATTAATCATAAGGACACATCCTAACAAGGTATGGTAACAGCACAATACATCTCGAATTGGTTTTATAAAATTTAAGTTTTCCTTGAAAATAAATTTTAATTATGTTGGTCGTAAGTTGTATATTAGTGTTACCTGTTTATAACCAGGCTGTTGTATTAAGTGATGTACTTGGGTAACTCTCTCTCAACCTGTCCTTGCACAGTACAGCTACGTCGATATCAGTAGACTGATCCTAGTCGGCCACTCGGACAGCTTTTATACTGGCTGGGAGGCGACGATATCACATGACGCGGATTTGTGTCGGTAGCAAGTTTAGACATGCCTTGTGACTGTTTTAGACCTGATCGATGATTTCGTAAACTAGATCAAAAACATGTTCCCAAACTCAAACCGCTCACTCTCTCTCGAACACATCCTTTACTTCCATATTCCCTACACTGTCTGAACAACACTTGTTGGTTGTGTGTGATAGGAACTAGTAGTGTGCGGAGTTGGCAAATAGTTCATGACGTCACTGCTTCGCGGAATATCTAGCAATAGCGCTTGGAGGTGGCTGATTACCCAATGCTCAATCAGCAGTTTTACAGCCGACAGCGGTAATGTTGTTGGGTCGATGGCAATGTGGACACTCTGTGTATATTATTCCGAATTTTTGTATTATTGTATTATTCCAACTCAGTAGTGGATTTGGGTAAAATAGATCCTGCTACTAGCACACAATGACATGTCATTACTGAGATTAAATATTTCTGAATAGTCAGGTCGTCATGTTTTATTGCTTACAAATTAATGTTAAGTGTATGGGTATCAGTGAGTTTACTACGAGTTTAATATGGTTTTTAATAGTTTAAGATTGATTGGATGATATTGTGAAAGTTTTATATGTTTGTTAAATTGCAAAAAGCGATCAAGTTTTTTAAATATATAGTCTTTTTGTGACTTATGCTGAATATGACCAGACCACAGTTTGTATAAAGTTTGTGACATTTGGTGTGAAACTGGGGTTGGTGTGTTAGCTTCCTGTACTCAGAAAAAGAGCTGGCTAAGCAAGCCAAACTTTGTGATTTTATTGCAGCTTCATGGCCAGACTGAGAACACGTATACACGTCATGGCTGATGAATGCCTCGTTATTCAAAAACATATAAACCGTTACTACAGAAATCTATGAAAATAGATATAAAAAAATTGGTTGTGTTTAACCTAATCACACCTGACCTTTCGTTCGAGTTAACAAGGACCAAGACATTATCCCCTTCAGGTCGGTCACTGTTATTTGCACCTCTCGCCAGGTCTACTTCACTGGAATAAAGGGGGCACGGGTGGCCCAGTCGTCTAAGGCGCCGCGATTCGCTGTGCAGAGTTGCGTCCCTTAGGCACGCCAGAAACCTATGATTGTGGGTTCGAATCCCGGTTCGCCCCGATTATGTTTCTAGGTTTGTCAGCACGATACCCGTGCTCGTGGGTTTCACCGAAGTGGTAAACGTCTGAGACCTGCATCACTTAGGGCTTTCCTCCCACATTAAGCTGATACGCCGAGATATGACTGGAATAATGTTAAAAGCGGCGTCAAACCCAACTCACTCACTCATTGGAATAAACCGTTACAGTAAGGCATTACAGCGAGATGGATAATAACGTAACACGTAGGCTCGAGGTGAGGTGAGGTGAGATGGGGTGAGGTGAAGTGAGGTGAGGTGAGGTGGGGTTTAACGTCTGCTTGTACTAGCCAGGACTAATACCGGTTTCATAGTGCTAGCTCACTCATATACCATGCCGCTGTTTGACATGAATACCCCACTCAGACACAGTATACTGACTCCGAGCCGACCAGTCCTTGTTTTAGCCCCTTAATGCCGAGCGCCAGACAGGGCGCCGACCAGTTTAAAATCACCTTAATGCCGAGCGCGAGGTAGGGTAACAACATGTGCCGTCTTTTAACGTACTTAGTATTTGGTATGACGCGGCCGGGTATCAAGTCATCGACCTTACGCTCTCCGGGCAGACTGTTTATCCACTAGACCACGGAGGCGGTCACGAGGCAAGCGACGCAATGTGTTAAACACGAACTGTCGCGAATGTGATGATGGAGATATGTTTTGTGAATTTGTTTGTTTGTTATTTAACGCCGCACTCACCAATATTTCAGCTATATGACGGCCGTCTGTAAATAGACGAGTCTGGACCAGACAAGTCAGTGATTGACATCATGAGCATCGATCCACGCAATTGGGATACGATAACATGCATGAACCAAGTCAGCGATCCTGACCACCCGGTCCCGTTGGTCACCTCTTACGACAAGCATAGTCTATAAAACGCGAACGCAAGAGAATAACCAGTCTAGAATATCAGTCGAAACAGATTCCTGTTTGCGTAAAATGCAAAATAGCCATGAACATTATATGAAATGGAACGTATATATGTATTACCTTGTTGCAAGCTAGACTGCATCCAATGGGATTCAGAGTCGAGTCGTTACCCAGTATATCATTTGTAGCAACGCCGTTAGGAAATAGGGTTCGATTGCTTTGTTATTCTCAGACCACAGTGAATATTGCTGATACAGAATAGACACAGAAACAACTACACAAAGCGTTAGACAAAGGGATAAGAGACGAATTAACCCACAATAAGTTCGTACTGCTTCTTGCTTCATACTGCATCAAACTTCGTACTGCTTCATGCTTCGTTCTGCTTCATGCTCCGTTCTGCTTCATGCTCCGTACTGCTTCTTGCTTGGTACTGCTTTATGCTTCGTGCTGCCTGATGCTTCGTACAGTTTCGCGCTTCGTTCTGCTTCATGCTTCGTACATCCTCGTATTTCGTTCTGCTTCGTGCTTCGTGTTGCTCCATGCTTCGTACTGCTTCGTGCTTCTTGCTTTGTACTGCATCTTGCTTTGTACTGCTTCATGTTTCGTACTGCTTCTTGCTTCATACTGCTTAATGGTTCGCACTGCTTCATGCTTCGTAATTCTATGCGCTTCGTGTTGCTTCATACGTGATACTTCTTCGTGCGTCTCGCTGTTTTGTGCCTCATACTGCTTCATGCTTCTTGCTTCGTACTGCTTCATGCTCGTACTACTTCGTGCTTCGTACTGCTTCATGCTTCTTGCTTCGTATTGCATCGAGCTTCGTACTGCCTCTTTGTTGGTTAAGCTTCATGCTTCGTGCTTATGCTTTATCTTTCGTACTGCTTCGAGCTTCGTACTGTTTCATGCTTTGTACTGCTTCATGCTTCGTACTGCTTAATGATTCATACTGCTTCATGCTTCGTATTGTTTCGAGCTGCTGCGTTCTTCGTAATACTTCGTACTTCGTAGCTTGTTGCTATTGTGCTTGACTAGATAAAATTCCATACAAAGAGAGATTTATTGCTGGGTCCATCAAATATACCACCAACTACTTTTCGCAAAGATAAACCATAGGTCTAAATACCATCATGGAATGACTTTCTACATATTCACAGACAGTATTTGAAACAGGAGGAATTAAAACCATGTGGATTCTCAAAATCTCAAATTAATTACTTGAATCTCACAAAAGAACCAAGTTCAATAATGTCAAAACATTTGACTTTGTACACAACTATCCGTATGACAAACATAAAAGTTTAATTCTATTGGGTATTTTGCACTGAACTAAGTGACCATAGATATATCTCCAAAGGTTCAGGAAATTGTCAAAAATTATAGCAATTGACATTAAAGTTTCCTGAGAAAACAATATGTGAAAACTGCGCTTTCTCTCAGATGACATCCATGTGAAGTGCGGGATTAGGACATTCGGGCAAGAAGTGGGCATCCCCATAGGCACCAATTGTGATCCCCTTCTTGCTCGTCTGTTTCTTCATACTTACGCTTCAGATTTTCGTCTCCGATTGTCAAATTTAAACAAGGCAATCCACCAAGAAGTTCAATTTCAGCCTCGGGTTTGTCTATGATCTGATGATATCTCTCAATAATTCTCATATAGCTAATTCCCTTCCACTGATTTACCCACCTGAGTGAGAACCTAAAGAGGAGTGTGAAGCCGCCTCATTTATTTCATATTTAGTGAGTGAGTGAGTGAGTGAATATGGTTTTACGCCGCTTTTAGCAATATTCCAGCAATATCACGGCGGGGGACACCAGAAATGGGCTTCACACATTGTACCCATGTCGGGAATCGAACCCGGGTCTTCGGCGTGACGAGCGAACGCTTTAACCACTAGGCTACCCGACCGCCCCTATTTCATATTTAGAGTGAGAAAAATTCTGCAAAAGACCGTATGATAAGAGGGATGATTTCAACTTTCAAATAGTCAACTTTCCCTTTATGTCGAAAAATATTCCAGTAGCTCTAGCCTTTGGTGTCCACATTTCGCGAAATTTTAGGTATAATCGAGCGTGTTCCTTCCAAGAAATATTCATAGAACGTCATACAACTCTTGCTTAAATTCAAACATTCAAAACCTTAGTAAAGCTTTCAAAAGATTTTATGGTAGACATGTGGAGGGCACGTCCAAATTTGACGAATCAGTGATGTCCGATGCAGTCCGATGCAGTTCTCTATTTTAAATTGTACGATATGTTCCCGTGACTTGCCTTTACATGTGTTTGAGACGGGTGTCACCTGCGAAGCAGGACATACTCAATATTTCGCGAACACCTGGTATCCTCAACATTTGAAACAGACTCATAAACACATGGTTATGATATTGCTGGATTCATCAGTGGACTTTGCTTTTAGTGGACATTTTCTTAACATGATTATGAAAAAATGGTTTTATTTATGTACGATTCTCCCCACACGTGCGTCGAAGGCTCAATTTCAGTGGCGCAGTGAAGTGTAGAGAGTTTAAACAATATGTGCCATACTTACTTTACGGATTCGCTACATCGTGCAAATTAAGTTATAACATTAATATATATAACGACCATTGTTACCCGATAGTCTAATTACATTGCTTGTACTATATAAGATTAAATTATTTCACATACGAACATCCATTAAATGCATATTATTAATCTTTATGTTTTGCAGCTGATTATGGTACTTTTTATAAGGTATTAACATTTTTATGGTTCTTTTACTGCGCATCTTCTCAATGTGGAGTAAAGTCCAGTGTACTACTGTTCGTTTACATAACTGTTTTATTCAATTCTCATTACTATGATAGTTTAAATTTATATGACCTGCGAATAACGATAAATGCACCCACCGCGCTAATTTTTGTGTCATCATGATTGTTTTCGTTTTCTTGTTATGTTACAACGGGTCAGCCTAATGTGGGAGTTAGTGGACTCTTACCATTTGGTCAATCATGAAGCAAACAAGCATGGGGTCGGTGCTGAGAGACCAAGGGTCATAATCAGGACGAATCTTGAATCCATATAAACGAGCAGAAGATCATGACGTACTGGTACCCAGTGTGAACATTAAACAGAACAGAATCAATGACTTCCTTAACATCTTGCGACCGAACATCACCGCA